AATAAATTTTCAATTTAACAAGCCTTGGTAGACTTTCCAATTTACCTTGATTAGATGACATCGAAGAAAAACAAAACATCTTTAATTTGCCTCAAAGTTCCCAACCAAGGGAAATATTTCCCCACTCTTGTGATAGTGTTGGAAGGGCATGCAAACTATTAAATTCTCTGAGGTAGGCAAAATTTCTACTTTGTTGGTCATAAAAATATGATTGGCTCAGATTACTTTATCATTCTTATTTCCTAACAGACACTAGAATCTCTCATTTGTAATCACTATAAAGTTGAGTTATAATCTTGATTGAAAAAAGCTGTTTCAGCAAATAATGCAACACATATTTCTTTATGAAGTATTAAAAAAATGATGAAAATACAATTTAGCATTGATCAATACTAGCGCAATAATGATTATGTAGAAACAAGCAAGGCTCATTTGAACTCTATATTGTTAGAACATATTGCTTCACTGCTTAAAATAATTATTCTTGAATTTTAAGTTCTTTTTGTATTGGTTTATCTATTTTTTTAATGATAAAATTTCATTTATTTTTCTAAAATTAAAAGGAACCTGCATTTATAGATTAAAATAAATTTAATCTTGCTAATGTTACTTAACAATAACAATCAATCAATCACTTTTAATTTCTTCTTACTCTTATTTACTAGAATAATTCTTCATCCTCCCTCTCCCTCTTCTTAAATCTGGTTCTGGGTGATTGGAGAAGCTGTTCATGAAAGGGGAGGAAGAAGTTCATATATGATCTTGATATTAGGGAGGTATGGAACATCTACTCCAAAAAAATTATCTGTGTAAAGATAGAAAGGAATACCCAGAAACATGATTATAGAAAGCTTGTAAGTCCATCTTCATCCTATAATTGATTGGAATACCTAAAAGTGGTATTAGAACTTGCCCATTGAAAGAGGCTTCTTGCGGAGCCTTTGTAGTATATAAGACCTAAGGTGGAATCCTGATTCCCATCCAGAAGCTTCTAAGGTGGGACATTCCCACTTGAAAAGACAATACTTCTTGAAAAACCAGCAGGTAAAATAAAACACAAAAATGGTAGCCTGATTGACTACTACAAGAACAAGCAAATTGTTTGCCAGGGAGCCATCAAAGCAAGCAATCAAATCCCTTCAGGACAAATCCCCCACCAGGACTGAAACTCAAAGGGAACACACAAGCAGGCATGTAAGCTTGCTGGCAACCATATTGGTCTACTGCTGACTGGAAGTGGGCAAAGGCAGCAATGAAGATATGGACTGAGTTTGACCACGTTCCATAGACTCCCATTGACCTGGAGATAAGAGAGAGAGAAGAGGAAGGGCTGGTTGGTCTGAAGTGTGGTGAGACCTGAAGACTCTTGAGCCCATGGACAAAGACCTAGCCTTGAGGGCTAGAGTTGAGAGTGAAGTGTCCAGCTGATATGAAGTGAGGGGAGACACATAAGAACACCCAAACTTGCAGATAGTACTCATTTGACCTTGCTTCCATGGCTTGATGATCAGAACTTGACTAGAGGAAGATAAAGAAATTTAATAAAGAAAACAAGTGTAAATTGCTACAATTTGATGAACTTGACTTATACTTAAGGATATGTTGTTGTTGTTGTCAGGTGCCATCAAGTCGGAACCGACTCATAGCGACCCCATGCACAGCAGAACGAAACAATGTTCGATCCTGGGCCAACCTCACCACCGCTGCCACCCCCGAGTCATCAATGATGCCACCTGGCCGATCCATCTCATTGGAGGTCTTCCTCTTTTTCTCTGACCCTCCACCCTACCCAGCATGACATCCTTCTCCAACGATTGTTTCCTCCGGACTACATGTCCAAAGTAGGAGAGACGAAGCTTAGCCATCCTGGCCTCCAAGGAGCACTCTGGCTGCACTTCTTCCAAAACAGATCTATTGGTTCTTTTGGCAGTCCACAGCACCCTCAGCATTCTCCTCCAACACCACAACTCAAAGGCATCAATATAGTAGCTCAAAATACCAACTGAGAGGGAAGAAGTCTTCCCATCAAGGATCAAACCTATCCTTCTGTACACAGGGTTGATAGGGGCAGGCAACTTAGACACTGGCTGCCTAAAATTGGGGGGCGGGGCGGCAATAAAGGCATGAAATGGCTAGCTTATAAGTTTTCAAGAGGGACTTTAGTTTCAGAGTATGCAGGGGAAGGTAGACTCCCCACTGAATAATTTTCAACTAGTCTAGATGGGTCTGGTGAAAAGAGATGGGGATAAGATTCTTACGATTCAATAGTGAGTAATTGTTATCATGACTAGTTGCGATTATCACAACTGTAAAGGTAGATATTTTGTAACATAAAGGGATGAATAGTTAATCTTACAGTCCAGGAACAGAGGATCCTAGGACCATCAAGGTAGAAGAGTATGAGTGGAATTTGGGAACCTATCTGGAGAAGCAGTGACACCAGATATGGAGGCAGAGGTGATGACATGGAGAGATAAAGCAGATGAGGACTCTAGACTCATGGAAAGAGAAAGGTTGTGTGCCAGAATCTAGGAGGCAGGCTTGTAGAATGTGCCCTTGGGTTATTTTAAATGATTATATATTCTTGAATGTTTTTGTGTATATCATCATCATCAACAACAACAACAACAACAACAACAAACAAACCCAGAGGGACTAGAAGCAAATACTGTTGAATGCATGGAGGGGATCATATTCATTGCAATGAAACAAAATACAATAGGATGAGTGCAAAACTGATGTTTTCCCATGTAAACTATCACTCAATTCATAATAAAAGGATTTTTAAAAAAGCATTTGGGGAGCTAATGATGCTAATTTCAACATTTGCAATTTGCACCACAGAATCAGTTCAAAGACTTGTCAAAATTTATTGCTCCTTTACCTGAATAATGTAAGATCTTAAAGCACCAAGAGGCTGTTATACAGTTATATTGCCCAGCAGATACCAGTGTCCAAAAATCACAAAGTCAATGGAAGAGAAGTTGGGGAAAAGGTAACCCATATTCATGAACACTCATGAGTTACATTCTCTCAATGAATTCCCCAAACTAATGATTTACTTGTTTAACTAAGGTTCTGACTTTGTGATAAAGTATCAATTGCCATTATGAAATGATTGGGTTTGTATTACATTCCTATAATTGGAACTCAGTAGTCTTTGGCTTTTAAACTAAAAGTCACCATCAAAACTTCTTTGTATAACATCCTTCAGTATATACCAACTTCCTTATATAATATATATATAATTATGTAAAATAGTATATAATTATATAATAATATAGCCCATGTCTATATCTATAGCTCTATCTAAGTAAGCATCTTTATTTCTGTATTTATATTACTAGAAATAGAAGCTTATGTTGTTGCTTAATAATCAGACATGGGAACCATGGGTCATTCTTCAATACTAGAGGAACACTTGGCAATTTCCCATTTTCTATTATCTTTCTTTTTAAATCATTTTTTAAATAGTGGTAAATATATAAGTAACAAAACATTTTTCATTTCAACAGTCATCTTTCCCTTTTTCATGTTAAAATCTGGAAAACATTTTAGATGGTCTAAATCATATATGTCAATGTCTCTCATTATTTTAAGGGATAGCACTTGGAATAGCAGTCCTTGGGAGGTGCAAACAGTTAGGTTCTGAATTATCAGTCAAAAGATTGGCAGTTCAAATGTACCCAGAATTGTCTTAGAAGAAGACAGGCCTATCAATCTGTTTCTGAAAGGCCACAGCCTTGAAAAATCTATGGAACAGTTCTTCTCTGCACACATGGGGTCACCGTGAGTCAGAATCTACACTATGGAAACTGACAACAACATAAATGTACCTCTTTGTGACTCTGAAAATCAGGAATTTGTTTAGACCTGGTATGCACAACTAAGGAGCTCAGTGCCTGTATGTTGATGGATGAGAAATAATGACACAAAGATAGTCAATCAGATTAAATCTAAGTGACTACAATATTTTCACTGTTAAGAGAGTAAACACTGAGAACCAGTCCCAAATCACCCAGTCGATCTGAAAATACACTGTTTTGGGTCTAAAGCAGAAACTTTAAGTGTGCCATTTATCATCAGGTTTCTTCCCATGAGGAAAGAAACATATACACAATATTTCACCATAGTGTTTTTCTTAAAGAGAATAATTGACAATTCTCCAGGTGGACAGACTATTGAACCAAAAGCAGTCTCAAAAAATCTTTTCATATTGAAATATTTTTCCTTTCTTACTAACACAGCTTAGGCATTGGAAAGTCTTGGGAGAAATTCAAGTCTGAGAAGCAGAAAGCATGAGTTCACAGATTGTTGATTTAAACTAAGAGGATTTCCCCTAGAGATTAAAAAGATAGCTGCATTGTAATGACCCTTAATTCACCAACATAGAGAAAATGTCAATATGCAGTGATCACTTTGAAAAATTGGCAGTATATTGTAGCTTGTTGGAGAATATTAAATTACCATGGACAAACAAATCTGTTTGAAGAATTACAACCAGAATGCTCTGGAAAAGTCATGATGGCCAGATTTCATTTCTCATACTTAGGACATATTATCAGGAGGGACCAATCCCTGGAGAGGACATCATGCTTGGTAAAGTGAAGGATCATCAAAAAAAGAGGAAGACCCCCGACAAGAATGATGGGAACAGTACCAGCAGCAATGTGTTAAGCATGGCAACAATTGTAAGGTTGGCGCAGGACAGGACAGTGTTTTGTTCTGCTTATATAAGGTCACTATGAATTGGTACCAACTCTATAGCACCTATCACCAACATTTGTTGTTGTTGTTAAGTGCTGTTGACTCAGTTACGACCCATAGCGACCCTGTATAGGGTGTCTGAGGAACAGCTCGTGAGCTTGAACCACTAACTCTGCATACTGTAGCTTAAAATATCCTTGTATCAGTTACCTCAGTTCAAGGCTGTGGTTAGTTTTGTCAAGCAGATTAATCTAAACACCTTTCCTTCTTATTCCCCTTTTCAAATAACTTACAACTTTCAATCTCCAGGGTGCAGTTTTGCTCATCTAGAGGATATCTTCGCAGATCCATCATGCAGGCTGCTGTGGTTGTGATCCTGTCAGGGTGAGAAGGAGAGAAGACAGCATCAAAAGGATGATGATGCTTCATTTCCAGGCTTCCCAGCCTCCTACCACCCCAAATGTTTACCAGTTGATAGAACTGAGACATCAAAATTTTAGGATTGCAATTTTTGAAGGCAGGCAGATTGGATTTGAATCTTACTTTGCAGTTTATTAGGTGTGCAAACTTGAACTAGTTAAATGAACTTCAAGAACTTCAGTTCCCTCACCTGTTAAAACATGTGAGGAGTAAAAGAGATAACGTGTACAAAGTTCTCAGTAGAGTGTCCCATACTTAGTATGCATTTTATGAAATGATGGCTATTTTTATAGCAATTATTATCCTGTGACCATTCCTCAATTTGTTAGCATTCTAGGAATGGCTTTGCCAGTATCTGTGGCAAGTCCAGTCTTTGGAGTAGGAGGACTTCTACTTTATGCATCAAAGCCAATCTTCTTTTCCTCCTATAGGCAAACAACAAAAAACAAAACCTGTTACTCCTCACTTCTAGAAAGACTTGCCAGATTTGTCTCTAAGGCCCTCATGTACTTATACTCTTCAGGAAGCAAAACACAATGAATGTTATTTTAGTATAAAAATTTTGGTGTTTTCATATTTTAGCTTTTGTACTGAAATACATACACCCAAACATTACATGCAATATATTTATACTGTTAAAAAAAAAGTATTTCAAATATTTTTAATTGAAATGGAAATTGAACTGGATATCAATTCCAGTTGTATTTTATCTGGCAACTCTCAGCAATGTAATTATTTTTATTAAAGAGCTGCAAAGAATTATGTAAGTCTGTTAGATCAAAAGTGCTAAAAATAATTGGCAAATAAACTGCATTTTGGTGGTGATAAAGCTGTGTTTTTCTTAGTTTAAGATGGAAAGTTGAGGCTACCTGTCACTGGCTTCCCAAAAAGACCACTTAAACATCAATCATCACAATATATTTTTTTTAACTTTTTATTGTGAATTGGTTAAAGACACGATCAGTTTCACATTCAACAAATTATACACATTGTTTCATTTCAGTGATTACAATGCCCTCCCTGCAACAACAGTTATCCTGCTTCCTCCTCATGAGTTCTCATTTACATCTTATATTTCACAAATGAACAAAGGAAAAATATTTGATGTACACTTACAAGACAAAAAATATATATATCCATTTAAATAGCCAAAGAGCACATTCTGCCAGCCTGCCTTCAGACACACAGTCTCTCTCAGTTCCTAGGCCTAGAGTCTGCAACTGCTCTGTCTCTCCATGCCACTGCCTCTGCCTCCGTCTCTGCTGTCACTAATTTTCTAGGTAGGAATCTCATGTTCCACTCATGCTCTTCATTCTTGATGGTCCTAGAATCGTCTGTTCCTGGAATGAAAGATTAACTACTCTCCCTTTTTAGTTACACATCTTCTATAATTACAGTTGTGGCAATCACAATTAATCCTACTAACAATTACTCACAATTGAATCATAAAATCCTATCCCCATTATCCTCCATCCCCTTTCACCAGATCCATCTAGAAAAGAGGGAAACTATTCAGTGGGGGTTCTACCTTACCCCTAGCATTCTGAAACTAAGCACACTCATGAAAATTTGTAAACCAGCCACTTCATATATTTATGGTGGTGGTGGTAGTGTACCATGGAGTTGGTTTTAACTCATAGCAATTCTGTATAGAGTTTCTGAGGCTGGCAAATCTTTATGGGAGCAGAAAGTCTCATCTTTCTCCCACAGAACCGTTGGTATTTTCAAATTGCTGACCTTGAGGTTAGCAGCCTGATTCATAACCACTATGATACCAGAGCTCCTTTCATGTCTTTATTGTTGTTGTTAAGTGCTGTCGAGTTGGTTCTGACCCATAGTGACCATAGATAGGGTTTCCTAGGAGTAGCTGGTGAGCTTGAACCACTAACCTTGCAGTTCAAACCGGCTTTGCAGTTCATCACATTAATCCACAGCACCACACCAGGACCCTTTTATAGCACCCCCATTTTTGATAGCCTATATCTAAATTTCTCAACCCTGTTGCTCCTTGGAAACCCTATACAGGGTTGCTGTGGGTCAGAATCGACTGGACAGCACTTAACAACAACAACAACATCAACCCAGTACACTGAGGAAACAAGATTGTTCCTTGATATGAAAAGTCCTTCCATTCCGATTAGAATTTTTCATCGCTGAATTCATAAGCAAAAGTCTAGCCTGTCAGTTTGTAGCAATTCACACTTGTTAACAGGACCAAACATCCTTATTTTCCTCTGATTAAGTTCTGGTCAACTAGCCTTCCAAACTAGGTCAAAATAGTACTAACTTTAAGTTTGGGAGTTCATGCCCACCTCCCCGCACTTCAGATTAGCTGGTCACTTCATTCTTAGCCTTAGCCTCCAGGAGCTGGATCAGTGCTCATGTGCTCAGGAGTTCACCCAGCTTGCTTAACTTCAGACTAGCCAGCCCTTCCTTTTCTCTCTTTCATCTCAAGGTTAATTGTGCCAGTGGAACATTGTCAAACTCAGTCTATGACTTCATTGCTGCAGTTCTCCCTCGTCCATTCACAAGTAGACCCAAGTGATCACCAGTGAGCATACGAGATTACTCATGGGCTCCTTTAAGTTTCAGTCCTAGAACAGGGTTTCCCCGATTGGCTGACTTTTCTTGCCTTGATGCCTCCAAAGCAAACAGCTTGCTTAAAATTCAAGTGGCCAAACAGTTTGCCTTTTTTATGCAGGTCTTTCTTTCAATAAGAATCTCTGTTCTCCCATCCGTTTTTCACTATCTCAATTTAGGAGTTCCTAGGTGTTGTAAATAGTTAATGCACTAGGCTGCTAACACAAAAGATGGAGGAGATTTGAGTCCACCCAGATGTACCTTGGAAGAATGGGTTGGCAATGCACTTCTGAAAAAACACTGATCAAAAACCCTAGAGAACACAGTTCTTACACACATGAAGTTATCAGGAGTCAGAAACTACTTCACAGCAACTCGTTACTTTTGTTTCGGGGAGATGCAGGCATTTTATGTCCTTTGACAGCAGAAGGGACACTGTATTATAATTCATTATATGGTAAGCAAACAACCCTTTTTTTCCCCCTTTTCTTCCCTTTCCCTTCTCAGAATTGTGTACCAAATCAATATCCTTATCTGTTATGTGGAGTCCTGGTGTGGCGCTGTGGGTTAATGCGCAAGACTGCAAAGCCACTTGAACTGCAAGATCAGTGGTTCAAGCTCACCAGCTGCTCCTTGGAAACCCTATACAGGGTTGCTATGGGTCAGAATTGACTTGATGGCACTCAACAATAGCAACATCTTTTATGCAATTATATGGTCTTACAACTGACCAGAGCTCATATCTATGTGGTAAACTTGAAATGGCTGGGTTTCTTACTTGGGGTCTGCCTTTCCTGAGTTCTGGAGCCTCAGGAAACTACCCTACCTTTTCTTTCTATATCCAGGTTTTCGTATCTTTGAAATGAAAGGATTGGACTAGATGGTGTAGATTGGAGTACATAGGGAACTCTGACAGTATCTGGATTTTTAAACTGGTGTTTGCTTAGCAATTCTATATTAACTCAGAGTGGTAGATTATTTCCTAAGCTTATTTTTCTTGTTATAATAGCAAAGTGTGCTCATTGCAAAAATAAAAATAGTATAAAGAAATGAAAGTTGTCTGAATAGCTCAATTATCAAAGGACTCATTTCTAGCATCTCATTGCGTAGACGTCCAAATTTTCTTTCTGTAAATACACACAGACACAAACACACAGACATATACATATTTAATTTTTTTCAAATATGTTGTTGTTGTTAAGTGCTGTGGAGCTGATTCCAACACATAGTGATCTTGCATATGGTTTCTGAGGAGTGACTGGTGAATTTGAACTGCTGACCTTGTGGTCCAGTGCTTATCCTACAGTGCCACCACACTATAATTTGTTGTGGTTGTTGTTAAGTGCTATCGAGTCAGTTCTGACTCATAGAAAATCTGTATAGAGTTTCTGAGGAGCAGCTGGTAAGCTTGAACTGTTGATCTTGTGGTTCAAATTGATTTTGTAGTCTAGCGCATTAACACACAGCACCACACATGGACTCCTATTTCAAAATATATTTTATTTATTTATTTTTTTGAATCTTGGTGTGGCACTATAGGATAAGTGAGGTTGGCAGTTCAAATTCACCAGCAGCTCCTTGGAAATTCTGCACAGGGTTGCTATGAGTCAGAATCGACTCAACAGCACTTAACAAAAATCTATTTTTATTCACTGTATCATAAATACATTTGCTGTCTGAAAGTACAGTTTAGAAGCCTTATTTTTATGGCATACATGGTGTTTCAAACATCCTAAATAAAACAAAACAATTAATATTTTAAACTATTTTACAAAATTCACCTATTTCTGTCATGACAATATCACCCAGAACTCAACCCAGGTAAGTAAGAAGTATTAAAAGTAAAGCAAATTTACAAGACTGAAAATAGGGAATCAGAGATACTGGTTTGAAACAATTTCAAAAACAAAGTGAAAATTTATCTGCCTACAATATCCTTTTATAGCTATTCATGAATTTTTTTTTTTTTTAATTGTGAATAAGTGAACAGTCTCTGGGAATTACTAAAGTTGTCTAGATGTATGATCCTACAATTGATCAGTGGAGCAATTGATCAGTGCTTCTCAACAGAAGCAATTTTGTCCACAGCAGAAATTTTACAGTGTTTAGAGGCTTTCTGAATGCCATGCCTAGACTGAAGATTGCTATTGTGTAGAGGCCAGGAATGCTGCTAAACGTTCTACAGTGCCCAGAACAGTTTTTGACATTAAGAATGATCTGATTCAGTATATCGATAGTGCTGAAGTTGAGAAACTCTGCTACAATTGCAGTTTACAAGTATTTTTTCTCTGTGAACATCTTTAATGAAATGAAATGTTATAGTGTACCTCTATCTATAAAGTCTACACAAAATAAATGAAAGCCATATTTTGCTAT